CTCCATCATCTCCTGAACCATTGTGTCAACTTTATCATAATCTTTTAGGTTCATGTAGAGAGTCATCATCACATTGAACGGAAGGGCATGGCTGGCATAATCTCTATTTCTCATTTGATCAATTAAATATTCAGCCTTGTCTCTCATTCTGGCGCGCACATATGCATTCAAAAGAGACCCATATGTCCGTTTGTCCTTTAAGGCACCTGGCAACTTCATGAAGTAATCTTCAGCACTTGAAATTCCATGCACTTTGGCAATTAGATCTAACTGAATTGCAGCGTCACTAGTGGATATTTTAAACCTCTCCCCTCTGTTGTTCATCCACTCGTACACCTGCAGAATGTGTGAAAAGTTCATTGCTGCTCACCTGGAATGGCATGATGAATGATAGAAAATACCACAGCTTAAAGATTTTAAGCTCATCCACCAATTCCAGTTTTACAGCAATTACAAGAAAGAATATAGAACCAACACAACAACTTTCTAAGCACCCAACTACAAGAATTATTTCGTGCTCCAACAGCCATAGCATATAATAAGTTTCAGAAGCATACTAGTTAGAAAATAGCTTTATGTTTGAGCCCTCCTTTTATTAAGAGGTTCTAAATTGCATAACAAATTCACATTTGCACCTCTTATCTTCCAAAGCTAAGAAACAGATAAAACAAAGGGTTCGAATCTATTTACAATAGAAGCATTTAACTCCTGGATTACATCAGAAAACCATTTCCACCGCACATTTTTGTTTGAGCTATCACAATCAATGCAAGTTTGTCCCCATATTTTTTGAATGCAAAGAAACTTATAAAATGATTCAGGGGGCAAGGTATCTACAAAAAAGAAAAAAAAAATCACTTTTAGAAATGATTCCATAAAAGGGACAAATACTGCTTTCTGTATATAAAGCATCCTTTAGGGTATATGTCTCAACCCACATAATCATGTTGTAAATTGAGGGAATCTACTTTTGGTGTTGCTCTGTATTCTTAGATGGAGGTTCCTTGACAAGATGGTCACAAGCAGTAATCTTTTTTAAGGCCATGTGACTTTTTACTACAATTCATTTTATGTCAAGAAGTTACAAGGCTTGCCGCAAAATTCTCGTAGTAGTATTTCTCTGACCAGAATTGGCAGTTTGGCACCAATCACATTCACTCATCATGCCCCAATTTTTAAACCTAATACTAAATATTATGCATAAACCAATCAACTTAGGGATAAGACCTTGATATGGACTCCAACGAGTTTATAAAGTTTTAAAAAATGGGCATAAAGCAAAACACACATAAAACCCTCACCCTTAAAAAACCTATGTATGTCGCAATAGGTTAACTAAATGGCTTCAGTCAGTATGCTATTGGTGGCTACAGGAACAAGGGAGATAGTTCTTTTCTCTGTTTTAAGGGATAAGGCGAAAATAGTTTTCATCTTCTCAAATAGCTGAAAGTTAAGGAACCACGGATACGTATACAAGATATGGGTACGATACGGATACGACGATACGACCAAATTCCAAAAAAATAGGATATGGGTACAGTCAAGATGCGTCTATAAATATATATATTTTATATTTATACTATTATATAATGAGTTGATAGCTATAATTTTTAGTAATTCTTTAACAATAATAAACAACATCAATAATTTTTATTTTTAAATGTTACCGATCGTCTTATTATAGTACATCTACAGAGTGAACGTGATTAATTAAAGAAATAAGAACTAACATTTAACTAAATTGTTTGCTTAGAAGTATTTGTTATTAAGACTATAGAGTAATTAACTCATTTATACTATTTGAACATGTGATAATGTATAATACTTAGAAAACTCTCATGTGTCTTCAAAATCATATGAATTTTTGTTGATGTATTGTATTGTACGTGAAATCAAATGGAAATGGTAGAGATTAAAACTAAAATTACACATACTTCTTCGCATATAAAAATATTCGTAAAGTGTCCGTATATTTTATTTATTATTGGATACATTTGGTGTTTATCTGATACGTATTTTCGAGTATCTGATGAGTATTGTACCTGACAGGTATCTGATATGGATACGTTGAGATTTACGAAATATCCATGCTTCATAGTTGAAAGTATGTCCTAATTGTAATTTTTCCTAGGAATTTCTTTGGTTCTTCATGAGCCAATCCGAATGTCATAAAGAAACTTCCCAATTATATTGATCTTATGTCACTGGAATTCTAAGAAATGTCAGACACATGAACAAGAAAGAAAAGAATCTGAATGTTACCTTCGCTGGTGGTTCCGAAGTTGAAAATGGATAAATTTCAGCATGGCTCCAACTTTACAACGGGGTACGTAATTACATAGTGCTATGGCTTAATGTTCCGACAAGCAATTGGGTATGGGATAGAATATAAGGGCAGTCACGTTGTTCAAATAATGCAAAAGGATATGCATTTACCCCATCCACCTCTCCTAATACCTTAACAAAGAACAAACTGGGTTATAATATTAAACCACCTTTCCAACTAAAGACATCCCAGGCTTTTGGTCTTTTTAATTATTTGGCCTAATTACTTGGGTCGTCTCTGCATAGAACCATAATCAAGACATACAACCATATTCTTGGAGGTGAAGCCATTCCAAATTCATTATGTGCACATGTGCTAATGAAACTAATCCACCTAGTCGACGAGGTCATAACCAGTGTTAAATCTTTGAAATTCATTAGTTCATGATGCAATGCAAGAATCCACCAAAACAACTCCTAGTAAGGTATGCTAGAATTCATAATCCTATGACCGCATCATTTTTTTTTAAAAAATAAAGTACAAGGGATTACTGAAACGCATGAATAAGAGAATAACCACAAGAGCTAACAAAAAACTCAATAACTGTCAAGAATGAACATATAAACCCTGAATCAGTTACCTGAAACCCAAGAATCAAATTTTAGGTTTCACGAGCAGGAGAGTACCAGTATAATTTTCTTCAATAGCGGGAAAGTCACAAACAAAATCCAATGACATAAGCTCAGAACCCTATCAATCCAAACGAAGTCTAGTACATTACCAAGTAGTGAACCCATTCAAACAAAACTCACAACTATGGCCAGGCACTCATCAATTAAAGCAAATAAACAATTCAATATAATGATTTATTTCTCCAGAACAAGCCTGTAATGTCAGAACTTCCGGAAAAAGATCAAATTAGCACAAAAATTGGGTTTCACTTCAAGATCAAAATTGTCCCAATCACAGCCAAATGCACATAGATTTCAGAAAATTATCAATTACAATCCACCAATTCAACAGAATCCACAGCAAAATACCACATATCCATTAATCAAAACACAACCAAGACAACAAAAAAAAAATCGATGTTTATGTATATACCTCAAGAGCAAGCTTGAAACGCCTGAACTTCCTCAACTCCTTAACAACCCTAGAAAGCTCCCATTTCGTTAACTTCTTGCCCTCATTCTCACACTGATTCAACACACCCGCCGGACCCATTTCTAGGTTCTGCATCATAGATATTCTCTTGTACACAGTGTTCCATTTCATTACTGGCCTCCTCTCATAATCAAGTGTTCCATAGCTATAAGCCTGTGATATAGAACATGTAATACCCGGATTTCTTTGGCTTGTGATGGGCCTAATAAGTGAAGAACTGGATAACCCAGAACGGAATGAGAGGGAGTAAGAGAGAGAAACATGGTGGTGGCTGTGGTGGTGAAGAGGAGTCTTTGAGGTGGTGATGGGTTGGAGTAACATCTTCTTGATTCTGGGTTCTGGGTTTTGAGAATTCTTTGGAATCAACGTTTCAAAAGCGGTTCCGAAAGGGACCGGTGGCCAATACGCGCCACAGGGCAGGGTTCTGGTTCGATGTATTTTTTTGGATAAGTCTAGGTGGAGGATATTTTGTAGGCTACAAAATTACTAAAAGATCCCCTTCCATAATTCTTATTCTAAAAGAACCCCCAAAATTTTCTTCTGTCCTTTTTTTTTTAAACCCTTTTTTACTTTTTGGATGTTCATAAATTTTCGATTTTTCAGAGACTGCACAACTCTTGGATTTTAAATATGATTAAATATAGTTAAACAACTATTAGTGTCTCAATTTTCAATTGTCCCAATTTAATCTTTTAACTATAAATTTTTGTTTTAATTAAATTTCTCCTTCAATTTTCACTATTATATCAACTAGAAACTAGTTTAATTTGAAACATTTTAACATTAATCTAATAGTGGAGATAGACAGAAGGATTTAATTGAGAGAATCTCAAAAATTCAAATCCCAAAGTAAAACTAAAAATAAAATTTATAGACCAATTATAATTTACCTTATTACTTTAAGCCATCAAGTTTTTAATTCATGTTATCTTAGTCCACTCGTACTAACTATCCAACCACTTTCGTTGCTTATTTTAAACTATTATTTTCTATTAAACCAAAGTTACATCAAGAAACTTAAAAACGGATGTGAGAAAATTGGAAGAATACGAACTAAAGTGACATAATATCCATAATTAGCATATCATTACAATATTCTATTAAGATCACCGAGAATTTTGTAGATTGAAGGTTGTGCAAATCAATTGTTTGATGGATAAGCACGAAAAGGGTCAACACGTTGAAGAAATTCCATATTGTTATACTAAGTCATGCAAAGAGAAGGTCAAAAGCAATATGACTCATGGGTGATTGCAAATATCTGTTGTGTACATTGCATGGATGTGTTCAATGTGACTTTACCTTAGAGAGATTCTTAGTTATTAAATAATTAAAAACCTAAAAAATAAAAAATAAATAAAAAAAGCAAGAAGAAGAAGCAGCAGTTACTCTATACAGTGCAATTCTTTACCACTCGAGACTAAATTTTTCACATTGAAAGGATCATAACTCTTCCTGAAAACATATGTCTAGTGATTCCTTTTCACTTCATGGCCAAGCCTCTTAATTATTCCTTGTCCTGCTTGTGCTTTCCAAGGAACCTATCCAACATGGAAACATCAACTTCACCTGGATATGAGCTTATGATCTCCATCTTCAATCTTCTTAGACCAACAACAAACTCTAAAGCTTCATTCATGGCTTCTCGAGCGCCAAACAACGCATCTTGCAGTTCCTGATTCACAAGGTAGAACGATGAGATTTGACTAAGAATGCGATCGTGCCTCTCTTCATACCTCACGACTCTTTCTTCAGCAATTTCCAAGGCTTCATTTATGATCTTCAATTTATGTGTTGTGATAATTTGTTTGCTTTGGAGTCTTCTCTTGAAGCTTGGAAAATATAGGAAGAATGATGCAGAGAAGCCAATTATGGCGAAAACAATGCGACCACAGTCCATGGGAGTTTTGTGAGAATCAAGTAGGTGTAAAGGACATAAAAGAAAGGGCAGTGATTCTTTGCTTTTTCTTTGGGAAACTTATTACTTGGGCCACTTTCTTTTTCTTTTAAACTTCTTTTTTTTAATTTGTTTATATCGGTAAAATGGCTTCATTTATAAACATTTTAGGTGCTCAATACAGTATAAGACACGTATTATGGCTTCCCGAAATTTATTCATAAAAGAAATGTTCAAGAGAACAAACTACGTAATTTATAGAAGATAGTATTTTTGTAATGCGAGAAACTAAATAACTACCTTCCATAATTCCGATAGGTTAGAATGGTTTGTCTTTTTGCCTTCTATAAATTTTACCATTCCGACTAGTTCAAATAAGAGGACAAAATATGTACACTCTTGCCATCAAGTGACAAATTTAACCTACCGGCAGAGCTGAGATCATGCAAAAAAAATTTTTTTTGGTTCAACGGTTAGAAATGTTTAGATCAATTTACGTGTACATCTACTAATCTACTCTCCAGCCTAATCAAAAACTAGTCATCCATGTCGGGATTAAAATATTCTTGAAGGATAAATCACTTGTCATCTAGCCCAAGGAACTACCAAGAAACACTTTGTTCTTTCAAACCTCAACAAATCCACAGTAGGTCCCCATTTTCACATTACAAAGTCAAAGAACTCAACCCTCTTTCTTTTTCTTTTCGAAATCAAATCACAATCGAAAACATGGCTGCAAGATTTCCAAGATTTCTGAAAAGGTTATGTCGGAAACCATCATATCATGGACGAACAAACACCAAGAAATCAGAAGTATCTGTAGAACTAAAAAAGGAGAAAGAGAGAGAGAGAGAGAGAGGCAGACAACGCATACGTTGTTGACAACCTGAATCATGCTTATGGAAGCCAGTCTTCTGCTAATTGTTACTAGTACTATATTACCGACTAAGAAGGCTGTATGATGGCAAATCTTCAAGCCGTATTTCATCTTGCAGAAGCTCCCTTTCCAGTTGACGACGAGTAGATTTCATCACCGTCTGCAGGAAATTCCAAAATAAGACATCGAAATAAAAAAAAAAAAAAATGAAGAAACCAACTTAGGCAAATGAATGCGATTGAGAGTATAATGGGGTTTGCAAGTCAGTATGACAAATCTTATTAGAAGGTGAACATTCGAAACAAAAAATCCGAATCATTTGAAAAATAGGGATGATCATTTTTAGTGGCGATTCAACAACATTCAAACCCCCATATTATCAGCATATACCATAACCAATTCCCAATTCAATCACGATTTTGACATTTAAGGGTTACTGTGTCTACGGGTTCTCATGTATAAAAGCAGAATGCAAAATTCTAACATCTCTTTGAATGCCAATGAAGATAACAGCAAAATAAAGAAAACAAAATTCATTCATAGATGTAATCCAAAATTTGTAGCTATTTCTTTCTGACAAGTATCCTTGTGATGGAAGAATACATACATTGAAGTCCATGTAAGATGCGCGCATGGCAAGCCATTGTTTGTCCATCAGCTTGAATGTGATGCAATATAGAAGGTCAAATGCTGATTCATTTTCTGACAGGCAAAAAGAGAAGTTTTATTCAGAACGTAAGTATATAAAACAATCCAAGAGAGTCCGCAAATAAATGGAACAAGTGATTGGCATCATTAAGGATTCAACTCATATGATACAGTCGAACCCACAAACAAACTTGGACTAAAAAAAATCTAGTAAGCTTATGGCAATTTGTGTTTGTATATTATACTTTAATAAATAATCTATAACTCATTCACATTTACATGAAAATGTTATGGATCTCAAATTGTTGCTAAATAGTACCTGCAAGAAACTTCAAGAAGGTCGCTCCTACCATTGTTCGTGGTTTTACTGCAGAGTTGAAGCTCAGAATTAGCTGATGAAAAGCATAAAATGTGTTCCTGTGATCCTACAACCATTTATGTTTAGAAAAAGTCAAAAAAATTCAATGTGGGCACACCATGTACAACAGTTTGTATGTACTATGTTGAGATATTTGATATCATAGGATGTGTACTATACAAACTCATCTAAGTTGTTCTTTAAATTGACGAAGATGACAATCTACTAGGAAGTCCAAAAAGCCTGCTATTAATCAAGTTCTGTAGGTGCAATAGCAATGATAGATACAAGGGATTTAAGGAAGTTACACCAAGAACTACAGAGACCAAATCATAGAGAATAAAGAGTTTCGTACTGGTAGGCAGAGAACGAAAAATTAAAAATTAAAGAATTTAAATATCAGGTGTTGTAGTTTAAAAGTGATTGCTCAAACATCATATCAAGAAAGAAATGAATATTATAAAACCTGCTTCGAGATCAAGCATCTGAATAAGCATGAATGTGATGTTAACACCAGCAACAGCAAATGGATATTCCCAGATGGACCGATCACCTTCCTCCTTTCGCAGAAGATCTTGGAAGGATTTCTGCAAAGTTATTTGGTCAATTTAGGAGGAACAAACATTAATACCAGAGTCTCAGAAAGTTAATTTCCCAAAAAACAAATATTAGGGTGGAAAAGGGAAACACATACTCACAAATACGCCCAATTTAGAGGGGGGGGGGGGACAGTAGTGCATGCAGCATTTGTGGAACCAGACACAAGGTCCCACAAATGTGTGTGCACAAATTATAAATGACACAAAACAGCAACACTTAATTAAAAAAAGTCATCCAATGATATCTTTATGCTATTAGAAATTTTAAGCAGAGGAGAATAGAAAAACTGAGAAAATAATCTTTTTGATGCAAGTCTCCTAACATGATTTGCTCTTAGTTTCCAACTATTCACTTCAAATAGGGCATAGAAGTATTTGCATAAGAGCTCTGTATCAAAAAAGTGAAATTTGAAGGAGCTAGGCATAGGAATAATATCTTCCTTTGATATGACAGATTACATTAAGACAGATGCAAGATTTGGCCCAAAGCAACAAGAAACACAAAAGAGGAAAATACCTAATAGCTAAAAGGTTTTCCAGAGCCTTGCTGATAAACCAATATGCTTTGAATTAACAGTCAACTGTATGGTTGACTCTACCCACTACTATCATTTTACTGTATTAGTTTTTAATCAATGTATTTATCTAGTGGAGTATTAATAATAAAGAGCATTAAACACTAACGAGTTTCAACATTGCATGTCTGCAACGTTATTCATTCAGTGGAATGAATTCTCACTTCCTATGACGAATTAATCATAATTTTCCCTCCCTAAAGAGCGTAGTTCCTAGTTGATCAATACAGAATTTCGGCCCTAATACATAAACAAATGATGCTGAATTGAGGCTCAACCAGGCTTAAATCGTACATGCCCCTGACTATGACAAGCAAATAAATTCCATTAGTCTTACTTTGATGGTATCCCATGCACAGTTATCATCAAGCTATCTCGTAGTTCTAAAGCGCAGCACTCAAATCATATATTTGCATTTACCACCAATGCTTGATGGTCAGCTAGCATGCTGCTGGCCCTAAGGAAAGGGAAACACAATGAATTTAAGTGCCGTCACAGAATAACTATTATCCATTTTGTACAGGAAGACCAGCATGGTCGTCCAATGTAATAAAAAATCAAAGTTGATACCAAGACAAACTAAATTCACTTTGCCATGGGATATGTGCGTGTGTGTGTGTGTAAATGAATAGAGAAGGGGGGGGGGGGGAGGGAGGGAGAGAGAGAGAGAGAGTAGTGGAGAATTAGACATACCGGAAAATTCGTAGCAAAATACAGCAAATTCTCAAGTGATATAAAACCACCACCCCTACAACAGAAAACCTTATGTTGAGTATAAAAGAGAAGAAAGAAAATCTGAGCACAAGAAAAAATTCAATCAAGGAAATAGAGGAAATACTAGGCTACCTAAAATCTGTGGATGGATCCTTTCCCTGCCAACCCATTTCCTTCCACTGTTCAGATATTAAATCGCAAAGTTCTTCTTCAGGAAAGGCAACATTCCACAATGTCCTCAAAGCTTCCTATAATAATAGAGCAATTATAAATATTAATGAGATGACAGCGCTAATTCGAAATCCAGACAGTAGTCTATCAATACCTTATACTACAACTACTCTTAAAGGTTAACAGATATCTAACCAAGAAGTGTACCTGATGTTCAGGGATTGAACCATCATATACAACATCAATACGGCTTTGTAGCCTTTGTAAGCATTCCTCCTGATATAGCACCCAAGTGAAAGAAAACATCATGTTTGTATGCATTCCTGTCAACTACTACATTGTGCCAAAATAATTAAACCGGAAAAACGAGAAAAAAAACAGTTAGACATTAACAGTTTCTGTGCTTTAATGGTTCTTGTATGATACAGATGAAGCCTCGACACATGCACGATGACTGTAACTTTATGCATGAATATATGTCGCTTTACAAGCAATTCCATATATCAATGGAATACACTTATGGCCTTACTGTCAAATACTATGGTCTGCCAAAACAATTAACCCAACAAAAAAAGAATGAGAAAAAAAGCATCAAGCATACAAAATTTCCATGCTCTAGAGGTTCTCGTATTAAACAGATGCAGCCTCTGCACATACACATCTGCCTGGCGATGAATTTGAATATACATGCTACATCTTTGTCAACAGGTAGCTCCATTGTTGTATCACTAGTAATAACCGGTGTCTAAAGACACGGTGCAACATAAAATCCGAGTGTCTAAAAAATCAATCTCATTATATCAAATAGCAATTCTTTCCAACCTTTTCTTTGATTATATAATTTGAAATTAATTTCTACCAATTATTTTTTAAAACAAAAATCGACAACTTTCTCAAAATACATGACCTCAAAAAAATATCATGTATACACTATCATATAAACAATGTTTGAAATAAAAATTGTATTGAGCCACAAATTAATCAAAAATTAAATGATCAACTGGTGATAAAAATGAATGATGTGATAGAAATGGGCGGGACAAATATGTGGAGATAAAATTTATATGCCTAGCTCTTTTATTATATAGATTGTAAATATGCAGACTTAGAAACTCGGCAATTTGCTAGCCAACTCCAATGGTTTTGAGCATCTTGTGTTCTTTTCCTATTTCCACCTATCATATTCTGATTTGGATTAATCCATAATACCTCTGTTAATTGCTTTGAAAAATCCTTCTTTAATTAACATTAGAAAACAATTTGGCATCTATGCTGTCAATACAAAAAGCGGTTAGTGACCAATGCACGCTTTTCAATGATTCAATACAATTGTTTATTTGGATATTCCACATCCATTGCAAGGTTTCATACAACCATTATAATTTACTTCCAGAATAAACTGCATCCCTAACCCTGAAAATTTAATTATTTAATTAGCAATACAAACATGTCCATATAAATTAGAAGTGTTAAAGCATCTAACTCAAATCCAATTAGTAATAACAAGAACACCTCTCAACCATATAAGCTAACCTTGGGCAGGTGGGCCCAGTCTTTAAATATGAGGCACAAGCTCTTTATACACCCTCCCTTACATGAGATCCAGGTTTCCACATAAACTAACAAAAAATATACAAACTTACATACCAAAAATTCAAATTGGTGAAAAACTTAGCTCACTGATCATCCAAGTCCCAACTCCAATATCATGTTAGAACGTCCAGCTCAAAACCAATTGTTAATGAGTGGAGAGGCTCTTCAACTATATAAACCTAATTTGGGTGGCCCTAATCTTGTGATGTGAATCCAAGCTCTCTTTATAAGAAGATATGAATTTAAGTTCATAACTAATTATAACTATCCCCCCCTCATAAGAACTATCGTATAGTATCACCCCTTCTTTCCACTTCTTCAAAAAAACAAAAGAAAATTTCACACAATAAAATGACACACATGCACACAGAGAAAGGGAGACACACACAGAAAGAGAGAGAGCACAAGCTTATTGGTCACAAAGTCATCATAACAGTGTGTTAGTATAATAATCAAACTACAATAATAGACTAATGTGATACTTTGAAAAAGATGCACCAGGCAATATCACAGTAAATTCATAAGTAAATGGAGAAATGAGCAAGCATTCTAGATGGAAAAAACCTTTTTGGGACGTTACAAAGTTTAATCACTTGTCCAATGTGTAGTAAACAGAAAGGATGGTGCAAAGATAAAACACAAATCTGTGCAAACATATTGCTGGCAGATAAATCAATACAATATGAATTGAAACATTCAAGCATGCCTCATAAATCATTTGGATAAAATCAGCATCATTCACATTCATCCAAAACAAAATAACAATGAATTCCTTTTAAAAAACGAGAAGTCTATTTATTCAAAAGTGAATCTCCAAATCAAAGGGACATTTCTATGTCCAAAAAATGATACGAAGGAGACAGAAAGAATATGGTTTCTTAATGGCCCTTGGCGAGGACCTTATTCTCGACAATATAGTTTTCAAGACTTGATACCACGACAAAAAAAACAAAATAAATCTTTTACAAGCATATAACCTGGGCTGGGGTCAGATCAAATGATGGACGAGCATCATTCTCTCTTCCTTGAACACAGACACATGAAAGGCCTCTGCCAAGCCATGCTGCTGATCCTGCCACAACCTCTGCTGTAACAAAACAAAATCAATTTTCTGTAGAAAAGGGATCCCTCAATCTTCAAACAGGGATTTATTATGTCAACCCGATGTCATCAGAAGTACTTAAGATAAAATTAAAACAAAAATTAAAATCGAACCAGTAACAAACCAGATATCTTTCACCGTACAATGACAAAAAAGAGATAGTAGCTTATGAGCACCTATATTCAAGTTCAACCCTCAAGCATAGTTATCCTCACAAATCCCAGTTGGCTTATGTAAGGCTCCTATAATTTTGATCTAAACAACAAAGACATCTGAATATAGAAACTATTATGAAACACAAACTGAAGTAAAAAGTAAATGAATATCAGCAATAACCAACTATACCAAAACTAATATTGCTGCTGAGAAATTAGAAATGTATTATCGGCCAAAGAATCTGTGATTAGCCTGATGGCCAAGGCAAGAGTGCCTCTCCTTTGATGAAGTTACTGTTGAATGGCAAGGCCACTTGGAGATGGAATTATATAAGTACTTAAAATATAGAAGGATACCTAAAAAAATAAAAATCAAAAACTACCACACCACTTCGTCAAAAACATGCCAAAAATTATAAATAATACATAGGGCATAGTTACTGAAAAAATTAGTTTATGGTGTGTAAACAATTTTGATGTTACACAAGCTCTATCCAAGAGCAAGCCACTCAGACGAAAATTAGGTCAAATGTTTTCAAACAAAACCTCTTGACATGAATAAACAACTGTGAACCGGGAAACAATTTAGTAATGTAAATTGATTATCAAAACCCTTTATAAAGATGAAATCATCTTTACCATCATAGTATATAACGTAATTTTTACAAGGAATTACTACAGATCCAGCAAGAAGACAAGCGCATCAAAAAACCTATCCCTATCAATTCATACATTACACATGGGCGCGGCGTTGGGTTTCACCTCTATTTGTCTGTTAAAAGTGACTGAACCCTAATTACCAGAAGTTTCAAACTTATAGCCAAAACGCAGTATAATTAATTTCCGTGTAATGTCAGAGAGTCTCAAAGTTGTAGCATTCAAATATCCCACCTAAGAAACAAATGAAACAGGAAAAAGAAGTTATGTTTAAGCCTAACTGCTTCTGTTGGGTATACAGTTATATGCTGTCAATGATAAAAGCTCTTAACACAAACCTTACCTTTTGTGGTATCTATTCTTGCATTTATGCATACAGACACAAATATACAGACTTAAGTGTGTGTAACTCGCAGGAATTGGTTAAGAAAACCAAATTTGAGGAGGAAATTATTACCTACAAACAGTGGACTCGCCACAAATGTCAATGCAAGTAGGCATGAAGAATAAAATTAAATCCAATTCACGGATCCAAACTTTTACAATTTACTCCTGACATAAATTAGAAAGAAAATCGCGCGAGCAAGAGGGAGAGAGGTGACACAAATTAGCCTCTAAGTTAGGTAAACGAAGAAAGTTGAAAGGGATTAATCACCCGAAGTTGAATGGCAGGTAGTGGTTGTGGTGCCTCTCTCAAGACCTTGCGGAATCCTCCGTACAGCCACAAATGATCCACCTCTATCATCCATATCCAAATTTCGGGGAAAAAAATCACCACTAATAACCTTCCGAAAGCTCTCTCATTCTATCAAACTCAGCCACCCCGAATCTCAACCAAACCACAACACCAAATGCCACAATCCAAATCGAAACCAACAAGAACTGATTCGGACCGCCGAATAGAAACTAAAAAAGTACTTCTTCGAAAACTACTCGAAGTATATGAAAAATTTGGATCGAACGATCGATCACTTCGATAGCCAATTGTTTTCTTGAAATAGAAATAAGAATGACGGTCGATTCTTGGAGGAAATGCTGCGGTTTTTTTTTTTGCATAGAGTAAGAGCTAGGGTTTCATGATCTGCTCTGCAACAAGAACGCCATGATGATGAGGGAGGGGGTGCTCAGTGCTCTCACAGAATTTCGTTTCTCTCACTACTTTTCTCTCTCTATATGGGCAGCTTTAGCTAGATATAGATTCTCTCTATATCTCTGTTGGTAGGGAAGCCTTGACGAGGATGTGGAAGATTATCTATTTATTTATTATTCATTATTTTAATTTTTATGGTGGATAAAAATGTATATTTACCTTAAAATTTTTCCCACATAAGCTAAAAAAATTTAGTTTATTTTACCTAATTTTGAGATGAATAAAGAAAATTCACCCAAAATATACCAAGTGAGAATTTGAAAAATACCTTAAAACAAAGAAGAATACTAATCCATCTAAGATGCGTAGTTTTTTCTGTATAAATTTACTTTTCGACAAAGTCCTTTGAGGGTCATTAGATTAATCGCTGACCAAGGATTAAAATTTTATTTTGAACGGTCAAAATAGGTAAAACGTTTTTCATTTTTAAAGAGATCGAAATAAATCAGTGATAAAATTAAAATTCTATTTCAAAGTGTTTCATAATATTTCAAAGAATGTCAAATTGTTTCTATTTCTTAAGTGATCAAAAAGTGCACTGAAATAAAATTTTTGATTATTGTCACAAATATCTATGTATGTGATGTTTGATTCTTCAAAATTAGGGGATTTGGTTTGGGTGTTTTTTTTTTCTAGTGAAAAAAAGGGTGGGAACAAGGAAAAACGTCTAGGGACCACACCGATAGGCTCTCACTAATGGGATCATAAAGACCCCTAACTATGTCTGGAACTTGTTTTAGTTTGAAGAGTCATTAGGGCATGTGTGTTTTTGGGTGACCTTGATTTTAATTATATCTATTGTTATGAATTTCAATTATCCATTGTTATATTAATTAAACTTTAAGAAAATGTATAGTTTATGGAAGTATCATGCAATAAATAAAACTTTATCAAACACATCATTATATATCATGGGCTACTAAGATCTCAACATCCTTTTAAGTCTCATTTTCTCTCTATTTTTCTACTCTTTTTTTTGTTAAAATAATAGAATGATGAAGTCAAAGTTCAAGGGGACAATCACATGACCTGTGGTCTCCTCCTATGACTTTGTCATCAATTCCTCCATGCCAAAGCAGAATAAGAAAAAGCAAAACCACTTTAAAATTGTCACGGGGACCAAAATTTTTTTTTATTAAAATTTTCGTCTCAACTAGTGTGGTATAGTTTTTACCATAAAAAGTAAGTGTTATTAATATTTATTGACGAATAATTCTATTTATACCTAAAAATTTAATTTAATTTATTGACATAATGATGTAGTTTCGTAGAAATTATTGAATCAACACCAAATTTCAATATTTGACGGAGCTTATAGTTGAGGGGCCAATTTTATCCGTTAACACGAACCCGACACAATCCGACCCGACATAAATAAATAGGTCAAATTAAGGTTTGACACAAATCATACTATTAATGAGTACAGTAGATATAAAATAATTTTTTAAGAAGTATAGTGGACAGAAATAAGAATTTTATAATTTTTTAAATAGTATTATATGAGTTGTTATCGAATTAAATAATTTTTTATTAATATGAATATTGACACGAACCGATATGTACCAAAAGTAACGCACGACACGAAAATAATATGATCAAATGTGACATAACATGAAAATGACACGATACAACACGATTGACATTCTTACTTACAGTCAATTCAAATATCAGTAAATTAGGTCATAATATCATTATTCTTTAATGATAGTGATTGCGTCACATCACATCACGTTCAATGTAAAATTTGGTAAATATAAACAAGAGTAATACTATTTAAATTTAAAATGTTGACACCGACTATTTATTTAGTGATTATGATTGATTAAATTAATATATTATATTAATATTTTAAATCCAAATAATATTTCTAATAAAAAAAATCCAAGAGCATACATGCATGCATTAATTCACCGGGCCTTTTGTTGGCCACCTTGGAAAAGAGAAAAAAATGGTCACATGGTATGTTGGTAAAGGTGGTGCACCATGTTATGATGGGAACAAAAGTTCATTGAATTTTGACCCTACACACAAATGTCAATTGTTTTTATGATCCACAACCACTTTAATCAAGTCTTCTTTAATAGAAAATTTGTAGTACCATTTTAATTGTATAGTTATCATTGAAATAAGATATTACCGATTTTAAAATATTTTGATTGATCATGACCATTGTAACTTTTAACGCTAAAGTAACATCGAATTTGAGTTATTCATAACGATCACGAATAGTTCACATCAATTGTAACTTTATACTTAAAATATATAATTTGATCTCTAAAAATAATAATTTTTTATGCGATTAGGTACAGAGCCATATTTTGTTTGTCACGGGACAAATGAACGAAAATTATCAGAACTAAAATTATCAAAACTCATTGTGCTTTATAAACAAATAGCGAGTAGGCCTTCAACGATCAAATTTAGGGTGATTTGAAGTATTATTTTATTTGTATAATTATAATTGAAAATGACATGATTGATTCCAAAATATTATGATTGATCAAGGCAATTGTAACTTTCACCGACAAAATAACAACTAATTTGAGTTATTTATTATGATCACGAATAGTCAAAATCAAATGTAATTTTATATTTAAAAGTAATAACTTTTAATACGATATTAAATTTTGTTTGATATCACATTGTTATTCATTCTTTAGATTTGTGGTTAGTTTAAAAAATAATATAGACAAATTATAAATTCAGATATTTTGAGTTTAAATTTTGACAATTTTTTGAGATCAAATATTATTCATGAATATTTTAATTTTGACGCAGATGACACATCTTTAATCGAATCAAAAAAAAAATTAATTAAAATATATATAAACTAATCCGAACACGTAATTCCGTTGAAAAAAAGAAGAAAGTGGGAGACCGGGAGAAAAGTACAAGTAGCTAAAAGTCATGGCCTACAGGCATGGGGTCTACATCAACTAGGAACGGCATTTGCAAGTCTGTGTCCCATTTAATTGTCTATTACTTGTAGCTGTTGTGAAGGAAGCCGGCAACACCAATGTGATTGGAGATTTGGGGAAAGCAACAAAGCCATGGAGACTCTCAACTCTCAATATCATTGTGTTGAAATCAAAGATGGATGTGACTCACCAACATTACTTTTATACTATTCTTTGCAATTAACGACAATAATTTTTTAATTTTTCTTTTTTTATATTTGTGATCGTTAATAATTCACACGATCACTTGTAAAAAAAAAAAAAAATCTCTCATAATTTGTGAGATTCAATTTTGATATCTCGAGATATTAATTACTAAAATTTTGTTAACTTAAGTGCACTATCACTCGGGATAAGTATGCCCTTGTAAGGTGATATGCCATTTTAGACAAATGATGAAATAGAAAAAAATAGCAAATAAAAACCCATGAAAAAACATTAAAAGGATAGTTCTCCATCCAATTTCACATTACACTTTGGATTGTCGGATATAAATAGTCTTATCTCTATATGTCCAGAGGATATTTTCATGACATAGACTCTCAATGTAAACTTTTAATGAAATAGTCTACGTACGTATTGAGTTTAAATATTGATAACTCGTTGAGAGTAGATCATGAGGGATTTATCTGTCATAAATATTTTAGTGTCGACATAAATGACCTATTTTTAACTGAACAGGAGAGAACATTAATCGAATTACGCGTAAATTAACTCAAATACTCTTGACCGTTAAAAAAAAAAAAAACTTAGCTTCAACACATACACACACAAAATTACAATATCTAACTATATATTTAATGCATTTTTTTTTTGCTTGGAATATTTAATGCATTTACCTTAACTGATTTAGCTGCCGGCATGAGCAGAACAAATGAAATTAGTTCATATTTTTTTGCATTTTTTTTTAAATGAACGGTGTGGTTTGTATATATAACAATACTACACACATATCACCTTCATATACCTCCTTTGTGCACCACTTCAATATAGACTGTTATACAAATAGACCTTTGGTCCAATGATACTCTTTATCTTGTGAAAATTTTGTCTTTTTATGTTCAAAAGAGTTCAAGTCCCTTTCCTCTAAAAAAAAAAAATTATTTTTAAAAATAAATTATAGACCATTAAATTAATAGATCCTACAAAATTTATTAAATATATAATAATTTTTTATAATGTCACATCATAGGGTGTAAAAGAGGTGGTGGCCACAATATTATTCTTATTTATAAATTCGTTGCTCGAATGAAGACAACTGATGGGCCTGACTTTTTCAAATGCCACCATTGGCCCTTCTCCTTTTCGCGTCTAAATTTTTGTTGTCGTGCTCGACAGGAAGAAAGAGATCAGGGGTGGGTCAATATAATTTGGGACTTATGAGGCATTCTATGTTTTGGTATTAATATTTTTTATTTAAAATTAATTTTTCTTGTTTTTTGATTGCAAAATTATTAATTAAGTTTTTATATTCAAGTTTTGTTGTCATATCTTTTTTAATTAATAGTATCGTTAATCCAATTAATGTTTCTTGTGACATAGTCGATCTTAAATAAAAATTTATCAATTTTAATTTTGAAAAACTTATTTCCACAGAAACAAACAATTGTTACAGACATTGTATCTCAATTGGAGAATTTTTTTTCGTTTGTAAAATTTCTTTTAAAACATTTAGCTCTAAAAATAAATTTAATCCATCAATATAAAAAAAAAATTCGTATTTTAAGAAATCTAAGCATCAATATAGGATTGCTTTTGTGTTGGTTTAGAGAGAGAGAGAGGGAGAGAATTAAAAGTAAGGTAATGAGTTGCTTTTTTTAATTTTTTTTAATTTGATGTTATTTTTGGATTCAGGCTTTTTTTTTTTTTACTGTTAATTTTTTTTAAATATTTAATATTTGGATTGGACTATAGGCCTAAATAATTGATTGAACTAATATTTTTATAAGACTTTTTTTACATTGGATATTTATAGTATTTAAAAATTTGGGGCCTTCTTTTAAAATGGGGCTAAAGCCCAAACTTTTTTAGAATTGAGGAAAAGTATTGACTTTCTAACCATTTTTAAGAAGAAAAAGGAAACACACTGCATT